ATACAGGGTGAGTCGTGTTGAATGCTATAAATTCACAAAAACTAAAAAAGAGAATATTTAAACATTTGGTTAGTTTTACACTTTTTAAATTACATTTTTAACGACAGGGATTCCAAATCAACCAAAATACTGTGTTTTAATAAAATTTTCTTTAATATTTCCTATTTTGGCAAATACAGTGTAAGTAAATACTACAGGAGGTATTGATAACTGCAAAAATCCAATAGAGGGTCTATAAGCAACAGCGAAATCAAATTATTGACGTAAAGGTGGATCCTCAATGTGATGTGTGTTCCAGGTACGCGTGTCTATACAGACTGTAGATTGAATTTAAAATTATTTTTTGAAAATAACCCATTTTCACATTTCGCATTTAAAAAGTTTTTTAACTTTTTAAAATACTTACGTTGCTCCGAGAAGATTGAAATTTTTATCGAAGATGGAGGTCAATGAGGCAGATACCATAAACTTCTCCCCAGCCCCCTCCATTTAAATATAATTAATTACTTCTTATAAATTCACAGCCTCACACAAAAACAGTTCCCGATGGCAAACGGTTTTACTTGTGTGAATCTCTTTGGTATCGTTGGATAGAGGAAGGACCAAAGTATTTAACGCAAAAATTTCAATTTCTCAAAATTATTAATAAATAATATATAAAACGTTCAATATTGATCATTGATGTTTAAACTGTTTTTTTCCATTTAAAATAAGATTTTAAGGTTATTTCTCAACTTATATTGATGCGAGAAGGTTCAAATTTTTATAGAAAATGCACATCAATATGGTTTATTCGCAATACTATAATGTCCTCCTCAGTCCTCCCATTTTCGGTTAATATTTTTGATTTATTTTTCTAATGTTTATCATGTTTTTCCTCATAAATTTGAGATTTTTAATTTTTTTAAATATCTACGTTTTTCCGAAAAGATTGAAATTTGTATCGAAGTTAGAGGTCAATGAGGTCTATTCACAAATATTATAAAATAAACCTCCAACTTTCTCCATCATTAATTAATATTCTCAATTTATAATTTTCATTCTTTTTTTTTTTAAATACCTGCGTTACTTCGAAAAGATTGAAATTTTTACTGAAGATGAAGGTCAATGAGGTTTATAAACCAACTAACCAAAATTGTTAAATTGACAGCTGTCCAAATGTGACATTATTAAGATATTTTTTAAGAGCAATAATGTAGCTTGTATGACATGTCTCAATCGTCTTTTGCTAATTCGCAACCCGCCTCAACTTTCATTTTCGTTAGGTCGCCATATTGGGGTTTTCGATTTTTGGAAATAGCGTAAAATTTCCGGTTCAGTGATGTCTCATAACTGCACAATTGATTTTATAACACTTAAAGTCGGGTCTTAATTTCAAAGTTGTATTCCAATAAGTAGTACCTTTTCTCTTATTAAAATCATAAATATAACAGTATTCAAGAAAAAGACTTTTGAAGCGAGCAGTTAGATCCCCTGACCTTTCCCCAATGGATTTCTTCGTCTGGGGTCACACAAGATTATAGACACGAGAAATCTTGAGATAAAGAGTTTTATACACATTTAGAAACATCAATAGAAAAATAGTCACCAATTGGAAAAAGTGTCTCGAAGCAAATGGACCTCATTTTGCAAATCTGTGTAATTGTATAATTAGATTTTACATTACATTAGTTGCAAATTGTTTTTCTAATATTAATTAAATTAACGAAGACTTTTCTGACTTCTTAAAAAACAGACTCGTCCTCGTTTTTCTTTGTTAGTTATTAGCGTTAATGTTAAATAAATCATGACCTACTTATTAAATAATTAAGACCCAACTTTACGAAGTGAGATAAAATCTGAGTCTAAACTGGAAATTTTACGTTGTGCAATATAGCGATCATTAGAGAAATGAAAGTTAAAGAGGGTTGCGAGATAACAAAACACGATGAGGCACGCCATGCAAGCTATCTTACCGTCTTAAAAAGATGTTTGAATAATATCACATTTTGACAGCTGCCAATTTAAACGTTTCGGATTTACTGGCAAAACACGAAATCGGCTACTTTTGATTTTTCGCCGATATTTCCCAAACCATTTTGATCGATGGTAAATCGGAAGCCGGTTATCAAAACTACTAAGTTTCCTCTAACTTTTGTTGTAGGTATAACAGGAGCTCTGATCCCTGTATAGAGGAGTGAATCTGGGACACATTGTATGATAAACTGATTTTGAAAAAACTGGGACACATTGTATGATAAACTGATTTTGAAAAAACTGGGACACATTGTATGATAAACTGATTTTGAAAAAACTGGGACACATTGTATGATAAACTGATTTTGAAAAAAAGTTAAGCAGTCGGATTTAACCTTTCCTTGTTATATTGACGTCTACTGCGCTTCCCTACATGGACGCTCTATATACATGTATAGAAACTTCCAAGTGTTAACGAAACTAGATTGTAAATATTATTAAGGGCGCCATTTCGGCTAGATTTTTAAGTCGAGATAGGAGATTAAGTTTTAAAAATTCGTTCGTAATTTTGTTTACGAGTAGAGAATGAAATACCCAAGGTCACAAGCAGTTCTTGACACAAAAGCACATATCTTATTTGGAATTAAAAATTATGGTGACTTTGCGCATAATCCGAATATTTATAACTTTCGAAATTATAGGCCTACTCCCCATTAGGTTTATTTTGAAAACTATCGATATTCGGAACGTTTAACTTCATGCCAGCTCCACTTAATTCCAACTTCTAAATCCTATAAGATTCTAAAAATTTGCAGTTAAAAAAGTACATTTTGCCACAAGTTCCATAAACGCCAGTTTAGTGAAGAGTTTGTTATGGTAGCAGCCCACCGTCAAAATACCATCGTTAAAACTTATTAAAAACCGCTTCCGAGCCCGTGACTTAAGTACCGGAAAAAATCAAAATTGATTCGGGCATAATCGGATTTGTTAAAGGTTGTATCAAGAAGTAATTATTTTTTATTTTGGGTTATTTTCAATTTTTGAACTTCGTTTCCTTTTGCTTGACTCTTTCTATGTCCGTTTTGGGTGGAAATTGGATATTCAATTGAATCATTCCTATCAAAAATCACATCAAGTCAAAGTCAATAAAATATTTTTTAATAAAAAATGATGCCATAACAGAGTACGAGTGGCACACCCTGTAGATTGTTTTAAATTATCCGCGACAAACAATATTTTTTTATAAATGAACTTGGAGAAACACACAAACAGAAATAGTGCAATTTTATAAATGACCTCTTTGTTTCATAGATATTTGCGTAACACGAAAAGTATGTAACAAATGTTTGAAGACTGCTGTTGCATTTAAGAAAAGCTTAACATCAATTCTATGTAATCTAACTTAGATAAAACCAATAACATAGCACAATAGTTGCGGGCTTTGCATTAGCAAATTTACGCAAATTTACATTTATTGTTGTATATCGTTAAACAATCAATTTGGCTTACATTGAAGTTTTCGCTCTTTGCGTCATTTTGTTTTTGATCTCTACGCAATTAATTCGTTTTTCTCTGAAAATTTAATAGAATCTGAACCCATTTTGACAAAATTCTACCGAAAAAGTGAACCATTCGAACCAGAACATGTCAACATTTTTTTATGTGGAATTAAAAATTATTATCAGCATAACAACATCTCTATAAATCTGGTGGCTATATGATACCTACAAAAAATTTTGGTTGACAGGTCCCTGAGTTTTGCAAAATAAAATGTTTTTTTTAAGAAATGGGTCGACAAGCAATTCAAACTAGAAAATTCCCAGTCTCAACATTTTTTGATGTCGGATTCAGAATTATTATTAACATAGGCACCGTCTCACTTCCTATCAAAACCTTATATATTCCCTATTTTATCACTGGAATAACAATTTAACAATTAATAGATCAAGATAAAACAAAAATCTGATCAGGATGGACTTGCAGCTAATCTTTTGAAACTCTGTGCAAAATTGTTAAGTAAACCTTATATATTTCCCAAACAATAGAAAATACGCGTTCCATAAATTAAAAAATAAAATTGATATTAATCTCTTGGAACCTTTACTTTTTGGTATATTTCAAAAGATGTTGGTTATTGTCTTGAAAATTTAGAATATACTGTATGTACAGACCTTTTCATCTGAAGATGTTTATCACTTTTTCACTTATTAACTAAAGCCGGATAAAATGTGAAATAATTATCTTTTCCAGATTACCAATTTCACTTGTTTGTTCAAAGCGAAAAGGTTCCTATCTATAAAAAAAGCCTTTAAACTCAGGCCCTACTACTGCACAGAAGGAGATGGTCGCCTCTTTGAGCATTAGATTTAAATTTATTGGTATTGCAAAAATCTAAAATAATAAAAAAAATATTTGCCGCACTGAACTTATATAGGTAAAGTAACTCAACCGTGAAAATAGTATAAAAATTTTAAAAGGTTTTGAAAATTGTAGGAAAATTTGTTTGTGTTTTTTTGTTTTACCTTTTGAAGCAACATCTCAAAATTTTTACTTATTCGTAAAGGTATAACGCAGAGGTGCCACTTAGTCCGCCTTGCGTATCTAAATTGTAAAGGTAAATCTCATCCCTCTACGAAAGATTCAAAATAGTCAAAATGACCTTACTAACACCGGCGTTTCTTGTTTTCAAATACTTTTCACGAAAATCAAGGTGGGTCGTTTTATAATTAACAAGAGACAGACGTTTGTTAACTACAGCAGTGCCTCAAATTACCATAAAAACTCTCCCAAAAGTTTTAATGATGTTTGTCAATATAATGACAATTGTGAATTAAAGGTATCAAGAAAAAGAGAAGAAGAAGGGAAAGAGCTTGACAAGAAAGGGAAAATGCATAAAGATTATTTATAGACTAAAGAGTAGTAGTAGAAGACCGCCTGTTGAATAGTATGTGTTATAAATAATAAAGTTATAATTATAATAAAATAATTTAAGTCTACGCCTTTCTGTTTTGTTGAATCACTTGTATCATTGTTTATAAAGCTACCTGAGAAATTGTTGCAGCCAATCAGATCGCTTCTTCGTCTTAAATCAGTGGAAGAAGTCTGAAGGCCAGGGTTATCGTAAGCGTAACTGAACCCGCCTCCGGCATTGCCTTCCAGGTCCCTCTCCGTTTCGTCGATACCTCTGAAAATTGATTTAATTGATTTAATATTTATAGTGATAATGACACTGAACATTTTTCGATATTGTCATCAAAAGCGAGTCAAGAACGACCAGATTCTTCGATCAAGTATTATACATAACTTTTTATAGCCTTTTAACCTTAATATTTAGCATCAAAAATTTATTATTCAACTCGTACAACAAAATTCGTAACGCGTTGATTGAGTCCGACCATCATCAGGATACGCGTCCTTGAATTTTTTTATGTTCGCCTAATTTTTTATTTTGCTGGATATTTAAAAAAATATATCAAACTTTTGATATACTAAGTAACGGCTGTGGGATAAGTTCATTTATGCAGGGTGTCCGAATAAGGCCCCTTATCTCAGAAACTACGACGATAAAAAAAAAGTTAAATAGGAAAGTTGCATAGTTTCATCTAGATCTACTGGATGTCTCGTTCAAGTGGGGCAACTAAGTAATTTAATTTATTAATAATTACTTTAAATAGAACACGCTATATATTTTTGCAAATTCTAGATATATTTCGTGTATAATGTAATGTTAAGTAATTAATAATAAACAAGGGAACATTGATTATTTAACTTTGGATAGATTCCTTACGGGGAGGCTTTATTGCCATATACAGAATGGATTTTTTAAATGTAAATTAATACACAGTGAGAAAAGATGATTGATTACTCAAAACCGTTTTTTTTTAATTATTTTTAATAAAAAATATGACATTTGCGACTTTAATTGCTGCTCCCAACTCTTACAACAATTTTAGGTCACAGAAACGTCATTTTAAAATATCCACAAAGAAAAATTGTGTTGAAAGCGATACTTTTTGACATAAAATTCAAGATTTGTCGAAAACGGTTGAACTTAGACATATATAAAATTCATCAAGAATTTTCAGGGCAATTAAAAGAAATGTGTTCTATTTAAAATAAGGATACTGGCATTTCCCTCAGATGAACGAAAAATTAAAAATTAAAAAAATTAAATAAAACCATGCAACTTTGTAGTTTCTGAGGTCGAGAACCTTATTTTAGACAGATTATATAGTCTGGTACGTGAGGAAAGTGCTTAAAACATATAGTAAATCTTAAGTATCAGTATCTACTGGTTCTTCACGAAATTATTTTTAAGCTGAGAAGTTGTGTATTTTCACTTTTTATTATGAAAATGGGAAAAAAAAAAGGAAATAACATCAGCTAACAAAATTCTTTGCGGATGTTTATTTCAATCCAGAATATTTAATTAGACTGTATATTCCAGTGGTGATATTGATTTACAAAGTCCATGATATCCAAGTGAGAAGTAAACTCGTTATTAATGTTCGGTAAAAATATTTTTAATTTAAATATAAAAAAACTGTATCTAGTTGCGAGCAATAGGGCATTTTTTCAATTATCTATAGAGACGAAGGCTTGAAAATTGTAATCTCTATTATTTTGAACTTCTTGGAAATCATACCTTTATTTCCCTTTTATTATACCTACATATCTATTGATATGTCGTTTTCAAGTGACAATTCTAATTAATATTATTTTGAAATATATTAATTAAATCGTTCCTATCCAGAACCATTTAGGTCAATTTTTTCATATCAAAGTCAGCTACTATTTTTTAAATATATAAATAATATAATAATATAATAATAATATAATAATATAATAATATAATAATATATAATATAAATAATATAAATATAAATATAAATAAAAATATAAATATTTTTTAAATGTGTTTGTTTATATTTAGCATAACACTAATTTTAGATAAACATTTCTGCACAAATGTATTTTTAATTAATCAGTTTTGTGTGTTCAATGAAATTTATACTTTTTTTAATTATATGGGTCCTCTCTGATTTTTAAAGTAACTATTATTTGGTCACAGTTTTAAAACAGCAACATTCCGATAAGCATTGTTTATATAAACAAGCCACTTGTAATGTATAAATTTTATTAAGATATTAAGAGCCCACAAATTCCCAGAAACAATTCAACGAATCGATAAAAAACTCTTTTTAAGCCTAATAGAACCGCACAAAACTGAAAATTTAATCTTGAAGTCCAGAAATTTTATATTTTGTCGAAAATAGAATTATCGGTATCATTATAGATAATAAAGAGTTCAATTTTTTTAAATCTTATTACCTTTGCTAAATCAATCAAATTGTTACTTTCCGATGTCTACAAAAAGCTTGTCCGTGAGTGGACGGCGCAGTGAAGCAAAATAATTGTCGGCAAAAAATAATAGCGAAAGTAGTTTGAAAAAAATAAGGCCTTCTCTAGCGGTCTTCCTTTCAATGTGGTATTAGTCCACTCGATGGGAGTTTTACACCATCGAAATGTGTATCTTGATCTAGTTTATTTTTCTAACGCTCTTGAAGCGACTAATAATTTCAATTTGCGTTTGGTAGTATTTTTTTCAATATTTGTCGCACTCGGCTAACTTTCCTGATAATAAACAATTCATTGATTAATATCCCTAAGGATTCAAGCCGGTTCGTATTTGAATGATTTGATTTGAGACTTAAAATTAAATATATAAATGACAAAATCAATTCTACTAAGCAGCAGAAAAATAACACAAATAACACATAACAATTAAAAGAAAGATTTACACATTATGTAAACATAATTATGCCTGAGACAATATAATATTAAAAGATTCGACTTTTTTTTTTTCAATTAGCCATCAATTTATTACAAAAAACTAGAAATTTAATTTGTAGAAGAGGGCCTGTTGTCACATGAGTAGATAATAGAGAGTGAGCAAAAATTAATTACAAAAATTAAAATATAAGAAATAATTTTATCTGACTTGGTATCAAAAATTAAGGTGTATACGGCTGTACATTCCAGAAATTAAAATTTCCTAAAATAATTTGCAACTTAACATTTTTCTATTGGAATAATGCTATAATACGACTATGATAATGAACCTCAAAAAAATAGAATTAGGATTCAGTTTCTAAATCTAATTGGTAGTGGTGGTGTAGTTAGAAAACTAAACTGATATACAACTTTTACTGCTGAAAATGGGGGTCAGAGCACTTACTTTAAGTTTTAGAATTGAATTTATTTATTTTTAATTTTTTAACGTAAATATAATGATTACACATGTTCTGAAATAATTTATAATCCTGCTTGTGTCAGAAGATCTTTCCAATCTTATCCCTCGTTTTATATTTTAGAACACCATGCTCCTCAAATCACATTCAATTCGTCCAACAATTATTTTATCAGCATTTTTTCTTTTTAAATCTATAATTTTGTCGTTTCCAATATAACAATTATATAGCTCCAATTTTTTATTTTCAGATTACATTCTACATTTTAACGGAAAAAAATCAGATTCATTAAGTTACATTCTGAATCAATTTAGATATCTTTAATTCCAAATTTTTTCACATCTAAAATACCCATGCAAAATTAAATAATTAAGGCTCTCTCATAGGAAAAATTGCTTTGTATTTTTAAAATAAAATTTAGGATTTGGCGAAAACGGTTAGACTTAGATAGGTATGAAATTTTTTTTCTATCGTTGGTGGTTTACGAGTTATGGAGGTTGGGAACCTCATTTCGAACCTCCTGTAAATAATAAAACTAAACAAAGTAAACTAACTTCACATTGTAATTTACATAAGCGGATGTTTCAGAGTGTAAAAAATTCAAATAAAACAAAAATTGACAAATTTATTTGCTACTATTTTTAGTAAATTAACTTAGCGATAAGAAAGAAAAATATTATGGAAAATCAATCAAATCTGCATTTAAAAAGTGTCCATTGCATAAGCAATAAGAGTACAAATCTATCCTCGCAGGCATTTAATGAAATGTGGACCTAGTCTTTCTGAAATTAGGGTCAGTCCATATGAAATTAATTGTTGACTTGTCGATAAATTTTATTTTACATAATCTGCCTTGGCTCATAAATTATTACATTTTTAGATTCCGATTTAAGGAAGAGTTACCTTATTGTAAAATTTTTTACAAGAGTAATGAGTTTAAACAAACTCATTACTTTTGATCCCGTTTTAATTGAAAAAAAGAACCAAAATATCCAAATTATATTTTAAAAAATCATTTGTTTATACTAAACATACGTAAAAAACGACAAAAATGGGACTCGAAAAATAACATTTCTCGAATCAATTTGCAATATTATAGTTAATTACGATAATACCAAATGAGAAAATGTCGGAGGAAAAAGACCTACGCGAATTTCACAGAATTTCTCCTTTCTTCTTTCATTTCGTAGCGGTTCCACAGCAAAACCGTACACGCAAAATCACAGCAAAACAAACCGATAAGCGAACGATCAGATCTATAGATGATTGTCCAGCTTCCGTTGACAACAAATCGTACGCGATTACTGGATCGCACCTCAAATTTCGTTCGGCTTTTGTTTCCGTAGGTCATGTGATATGGTAAACATTCCAACTTAGTTTTTTTTTTTGGTCACGTGAACTGCGCACTTACGAGCAGGTATTCCGGGAAACCCGGACTTTGGGAGAAGTCTCTAGGCCCCCGGTTCGGGTCAAACTAGTCATCGAATGTTGTCGGTTCGCTTCTTCTTTGCCGTACGAAGAACGAGAAATAACCAGTAAGTTTTACTTCTCGTGCGTGCGAAGCGAATTTAGAAAATTCGTCGCCTCAGCCTTAGAAATGCGGAGAATAATTTACTATAATAATAATTAGTAACTATAAATAATATTGATGGGAATTAAGGAAATGGTGTTTGTTTCGATATACAAGTTTTAAAAAAATGCGATTTCAACTGCCACTTTAGGAAATTCTAAAAAACTTTCTTTGTGAAAAAAATCTCTTTGCTAAAGTGTCAATATCAACATCTACATGTTTTCTAATCTGTTTTTTTTTTAATTTTTCTGAATTTCAGCAGAAATAACCTTCATAGTGCATAACATCTATTCCTTGAAATATTCCCCCACTGTCGGACATAATATAAAATGAAACACAATTGACGCGCCATATTTCAGAGGTGTACATTGAATAAAGATATTATAAAAAAAACCAGGCCTAACGCTAATTTCAATGGTTCCCAAAACATATATTTGTTTGATTATTTGTACTGCTACTTGGTGGTGGTTAAAGTCAGACCGATATAGTCATTATCAAAGAATGTAAAAAATAATAATAATAAGAATCGTTATTAACCAATTTCTTTTCTAAATCTTCCTTTGTTGATCTGCCTGGTCCTCTTCTGCCTCTTGTTTGCCAATTTATGATTTGTTTCGGGGTGCTCTCTTCAATGGTCTTTAGATCCTTTCCTGATGTTCCTGCTGCTTGTCGCCAAAAATCCATTTCTGTTGCTCTTAGTTTCTTATCTGTCGTTTCTTTTAAAGGCCATATCTCCGATCCGAAAGTGGCGGTGCTTTTCTTCAATAGTTCTTTAAAAAACCTTTATGGATTTCAAAAGAATTGTATGTGTGTTTGAAGAGAAATTCATACTTGAGTGATATCCAGAAGTGTGACATTAAATTCAATGGACAGAACGAGCGGCTCGTTGGATTTCCAATGGGTTAAGGTGTGCTATTTTGAAAGTAGTCAACTGTAATCAAGTTTTGGAAAATGGTTTTTTTTAAAGCCACTCTGGATGAGTTGAATGAACATGATAATCATATAGCTATTTCATAATCTAGCGGCCCTACTACAGTAAAAATTGATGCACCTCAGGTGCCATTAATATTTTCGTAGAGAAGGGAATGTTTTTCCTCGCAAGCATCTACATTTCACCTCCTAACCTGTACTTTGTGCCATTTTCTTTCTAAACAGCGATTTCCCCAAACTTAATCCGTTCTCCCAGAAAATTTAGCGAGACATTGACAAAATGCTATCCTAAAAATCAAGCATCCAAGTTTACTGATGATCTGTCAGTCATGTTGGCGCAAGGTTAAACACTGGATTTTAAATTTTGCGCATGCGCATGTTGAATATACCTAATTTATTTTCTTAGTTGCTTCATAAATTCCTGTATTATAGCTATTAGGCAGTATCTTCCATATCTCTAGTACCTATATGGTCAGATTGGGAAATCTTTTTTTTTCTACTCCCTAGTATGCAACGATTAAGCGTGCGTTAAGTGTCACTTCGGACGCTTATGAAATATATTATGAAAAATATCAAATTCTGCTTATTTATTTTTAATGCTTCTAAAATCGCTCTTATTTTTTACATATAAGCTATACATTTTTTAAAATCGAAACGATAGTTTTGATTAGCTTTGCTTTTGTTACAATATACAAAGACATTTTTTTTCTTTTTGTTCCAAAATTCGTATACAGCTTTGTATACAAAATATCATTCTTAACATTTTTTTCAAACAAGTTTTTTCTAGTCCCTAATCTAAAATACCCACTTATGCAGTCGAACGCAAAGTGTCCAAAGTGTCACTGTAAGACCTAAACTTCATTGTAGCGATCTCCTTCGTTCTTTACTTACTTCAGATTCGTTGGATTTGGGTTGGCATATCGCCGACTGTTATAAAGAGCATAATGATAAAATTATCAAAACTGGTCTGTGTGCTCGTGATTGAATTGCGACTGCTGCACCCATGGAGTGTTTACTTCAACTGTTGGATTGCTGAAGACCTTTTTGCTTCCCTTGATTAAAATTACTTCCTTGAATTTCCTCTTGCACTAGTGTTGCTCTATATGAATTGTAAGTCTTTTTGCTAAGTGTATTTTGTCTTAATGAGTACGCAACAGAGTGTATCACCAGGTCTTATAATTTTTTGACATATGGGATAGTAATTCTATTCCATTCTATTCCATTCTATTCTATTTACAAGGAAAAAGTATTTTATAGATATTAACTTAATGCTTGATAATAGAGCTGAAAAGAGTTAACCAAATAAAAGACTTGAGAATTGCTCTTGACCCTCAGCTAAACTTTGAGGCTCATTTTGAAAATGACCAAAGGATTCAAGAAGCATCAGTCAGTAATAATCATTTATACTAGCATGATAAGGTCTGTACTAAAGTAGGTACTCAGCCACAGTTTGGAATCATATTTATAGGTAAATATATCAACAGAATAGAAACCATACAAAAAAAACTTTTGAAAAATTTTAACTTTAGATACAACAGAGATCGACACTTTTACTCGTACGAAAAAAACTGAAAATTTTACAATTTGAAGAAGCTTGAAACTGGAAGAAACTGTTTTAATGTTGCTTTTCTTTACAAAGTTGTAAATAATCTTGTGGATTCTTCTTTTTGTATAATTATAATAATTGTATTTTTTAAAACGGCATAGATATAAATAGGTTTAATTTAAGCCTCAGTTTATTTAAAACAAACAAATATAAACTTCTCTAGATCGTAATTATAATTTATTTGTATCTAACCTTTGCTTTCGTTGTATATATAAGAAATTTATTGCTCACTTTCCCGATTTTGTTAAATAGTAATAGTCCTATTGTGCCATTGTGTAATTGGGTAGCTGCGTCTGCCTGTTGAATGGCCTGTAAAATACAATTAAATAAATAAATAAGTTTTTTTCTCCGTTGTTGCAGAGTTAAACACATTGATGATGCGACTTATGTCAAAATTTACTTTTAGGTTATCGGTCATGGACCGCACATTAAAAAAAATCCGTATGTCCAACATTACGCACTGCGCTGTCGTATTTACCAAAAAGGCTCATATAGATGGACATACATTGGTTCCGATTTGCTAATAAATCATACCTTTTAAAGAAACGATAATGAAGATAACAAACTCCTACTGAACGGCGAACCGAACACATGAGAACCATTCAATGAAAAATGCAGCATTTTCATTAAATCATGTCAAAATCAGCTTGTTATATTCGCTAATATTTTTTTCACAATAAATAAAGGAAGACATTTCGTTTCTTGATTAACAATTTCTAATGACACGTACGTGATGCTTTTAAAATATGATTCGTCGGCCATGTTGAAATAATAGCAATGTCATAAATTCGAGAATAGAAGTTTGTTATCGCCACGTTTTATAGCCTGCGTAATAAACCATAGGCACAAACACGGTTCTAGAAAAATATCCTGCAAATGAAACGCATTTTTTGTTTAAATTGCTGATTGGAGTGCAAAATTATTAGGCCTGGGTGGAATTTACAACGTTTTATAGGATAACGTTAGCCGATGATTGATATCACTAAGATTTACCATATGCACATTTATTAAACAAAACGGAAAATGCAATAAAAAATATGCAAAATAAAATATAGATATCGTTCCTACGAAATAGCCAATGCGCAATTTTTGTCGTAGTGTTGATATTAAAAATGAAGGGACCGAAAATTCCACGAAACATTTTTGCTCAAAAATTACATTTTAAAATAAAGAAAAGTGTGGTAAATGGCATTTGAGTCACGAGTTTATTTGACACGAGCGGAGCGCAGCGATCTAGTGTGCGGTAACTGTCATTTTACCACATTTGCGGGATATTACCGCGCGGGTATAGCAGCAATCGAATTTTGACGTTTGTCAATTGTGATGGTCATGTCAGTGAATGTATTCTCGTTGTTTTGCGAAAATGGGCCCAAAAACTAACAGTTGCAGAACAAGGATAGTATGCAACACGTTTGGGAAACTTTTTAAGTCGTTCGTTTATTAAACATTCGCTCCGCTCGTGCCAAACAAACTCGTGACTCAAATGCAGTTTACCGCACTGGTTGCATAATATACTATTTTGCAAAACAACACAAATACATCAAATGACCCGACTGTCAGAATTAAAAAACATCAAAATATAAGCTAGATCGGTGTATAATTAGGTATTTTACAGAAGGGAATAGAAAAAATGTTTTACTCTCCAACAATATTTATTATCTAAAAAAAAATATCAATTCGCCAACGGAAATTAATATGCATTAAGGAAAATTACCGCGTTTGTTTTGGTAGTTTGGCTATTTGCTAAATGTATTATACAGGAATTCAGATTTTCGAATAAAGCAAATATACAATAAATCAATCTCGTCGCTTTAGACACAAAAAATACGGCAAGCAAAAATTTTCGCAGATTTTTCGCTTGATATCTGTCAGATTTAAATGTCATTAAACCGTTTACTTTTGTTTACTGGAAGCACATACTTTTCGAAAAAATAAAGGTAGATTTCAGACTAGTTATTTAATACCCAGACTGTTTGTCGCGTATCAACTATTCACTGTACTGTAAAAGTTGTTTTTTCTTATGAATGTTTATGCGTTAAGTTTACAGGAAATGATATTTTGTTTAAAAATTTGCAATAAAAATATCTCAATTTCACCAACGTAGAGAGAAAAAAAAATTTGAATATCTCGGCAACAAACATGGGACGACGAAACTATTAAAATAATTGTCCATCAAAACCAATAGATATATTACACGTGGCAAATTGGTACTTAGACACTTTCAGTTCACATATTTTGCTTTACGCTGTGTTTTTGGTTTTTGCCAACACTTTGAAATTATGTTACATTTTCATATAGACAAAGTGTAGTGAGTGTTGGGAAAGACAT